TAAGACAGCTCTATTTTGAAGATGATGTTGACCAACAACATATACAGGAGCCCTTTGGCCTTTGGGGCTGTAGGAGAAGCATGGGACTACTAACCACAAAATTTAACCCATCAGCCCTTCTGTGGAAGAGGGAAAAATGAGGCTGCCTGCTCCCCTGAAGATTTAAGTTTTGGAATCCCTACAGGTAATGGCAGTGGATCTTTTAGCAACCCTATATGATAGAGTCTTGGTATTGTTGTTAAGTGTCATTGAGTAGGTTCCGACTCATAGCAACCCTGTACAGGGTTTCCGAGGCTGTAAATCTGTATGGGAGTAGAAAGCCTCATCTTTCTCTCACGGAGCGGCTGGTAGTTTCGAACTGCTGACCTTAAGGTTCACAGCCAGATTCGTAACCACCTTGCTGGCTATAGAATAAGCACTGTACTGCTAACTACAAAGTTGTTGTTGTTAAAAGCCGTCTAGTCAGTTCCAACTCATAGCGACCCTGTAAAGGGTTTCTGAGGAGAGGCTGATGAGTTTGAAAAGCTGACCTTGCGTCCAGTGCATTAACCTGCAGGGTCACACCAGTTCAAACCCATCAAGGGCTCCTCAGAAACCTTATCCAGGATCGCTATGGATCTGAACGACTGGAAAGCACTTAATAACACATGAGACTAGAGCTTGCCCCCATGAGGTTTCCTGGTATGGCGCTGTAGGATCAGCACTGGACTGAGAACAAGGTCGTCAGTTCAAATCCACCCCCTGCTCCTTGGATATACAGGGTCGCTATGAGTCAGAACCAACTCGCTGGAACTTAACAACAACAACAGTGTTTACAGGTGCACATGGATGGTTTGAACCTGACTTTCCTGCCAGCAGTTTAACCATTTTTCCACCAGGGCTTCTGTTAACTTGTTCGTGCGCCGGGTCCACTGCCTTTAGCAAAACTCCAAAGCCCGCCTGGGCACTGGCCATACATGCCACACTGGCCTTTCAGCACCCAGGGAAGGCAAGATCCAGGCAAGGTTCTTCCCCACCCAGGCAAGATCCTGCACCTCTACATCCCCCCACCTACTGCAGAACATCCTTGTTCTTCCCGACAGGGCGCCCCGCCCTTCCTGGCAGGCACGCGGTGGGGGAGGGGGAAGAAGGAGGCGGGACTCGGCCTTTGACACAATGAGGGGGGAGGGGAGAGGGAAGGCGGGGCTCCCGGGCCGCCGGTCACGTGTCCGGGAGGCGCGAGCTGGGTATATAGGTGGGTCGCGGGAGGGTTGGAGTCTTTGAAAGCTGTTGGGAGTTGAAGAGCCGGTCCCGCTGACGCGTCGGACCTTTGCCTCTTCGCTGCTGTCGGTCGGTGGGTGCTGTGGGTGCGCGCCGCTTCGAGCTGGTTCCGGGTCCCCTGCTGCGCCGGGTGTCGGGGGGTGGTTCCTCTGCCCCCGGGTGGGCAATCTCAGCTTGGGGGTCGGTTTCAGGGTGCTCGCTGGGAAGGAACAGTCTCTTGGACCTGTACTTACGATCCTGGCTTTTGTTCGTTGAGAATTCTTTTCTGCTAACAGTTCAGTGCGGTTGTTATTCAGTCTCTTTTTGGCTTGTCTCGATGGTGTCTGGCTAACACTTTGTATTTCTCCCAAAGTGACATTACTTAAAGGGAAACGGGTTAGAAAAATCGCCCTACGCCAGACTTTTATGGGGTTCACGGTCACGGGTTCTGGCGCCTGACTTCCTCCTTAAAGAGAAACAAACACTTTCTTATTTACAACTGCGCCGACTCCTTTGCAGTTTTAACTGGGGCCTTTAGGGGGTAGGAGGGTGAACCAACCCGCCCCGAAGCAGTGGTCGGCGTCTGTACAGCTTCTGCCTTCCCTAGAGAATGTGTGCTCGTGGCGCCCTGGTGGCACAGTGTTTAAGCGCTTGACTGCTAACATCAAGGTGGGTTTGAGACCACCACAGGGCTCAGCAGGAGAAACATGTGGCAGGCAGTCTGCTTCCGGAAAGATTTCTAGCTTTGGGAAATCTTTGGGGCAGGTCTATTTTGCCCTGTAAGAATGTTGTGAGTTGGAATTGCTCAGGGAAACTGCGGAAGTTGTCTGGGATACTAACTTTGCAATGAAAAGCCTCCGCAAACATTTCTGTTTCTGGTGATGCCCTTTCTTTTGTGCTTGTTCCAGCTTATAGCTACCCTATAACACAGAATATATCTATCCCTTTGGGTTTCAGACACTAAAGCTCTGGTAGCATAGTGGTTACGAATTGGGCTGCTAATCTCACGGTCAGCAGTTCGAAACTACCAGCTGCTCCACGGGAGAAAGATGAGGCTTTCTGCTCTTGTAAAGAGTCGGAACTGACGCCACGGCACATAACAACAACAAAGCTTTATCGGTAGTGGATTCGAACTGCTGGCCTTGCATTTAGCAGTCAGGAGTCAGTTGAAGTATGCGGGGTCACTATGAGTCCAAAGTGCTGGTGGCCTATAACTCCATTAGGGTTGACAGAAAAGGTTAAAATAAATCCTGCTCATTGTGCTCCAGTTTTGTAGTCCTGGTCCCCAGAGGAATGCTGATGGACCAAGATGTCTCTTCTTGAAATCTCCTTTCAGTCTTAACATGGATTTCAACTCAGCATTTTGTGAACAGATGTGGTGGTGATGATGGTTATGTGCTGTGAATTTGGTTCTGACTCATAGCGATGCTGTATAGGATTTCTGAGGCTGTAAATCTTAATAGGAGCAGAAAGCCTCATCTTTCTTCCACTGAACCACTCATTGTTAGTTTTGAACTGCTGACCTTGAGGTTAACCACTGTGCTACGAGAACTCCCTCGAAGGGCATTTCTAGTATCCAGTCAAGTATTTGCATTCCTTTGCTGAGCCTCTTTTCCATTCAACAGGGTATAAACACAAGCTGTTTCCCTCAGGAGAAACCAGAGATTTAGAGGACTGAAGAAGTACCAAAGACTGCGGGAAGCAAAATGGGATCTGTTGCCGTTGATCCACAGCCGGTATGCATTTTAAATAGTAGGTTCTAGACTCCTTTCCTTCCACACAGGTTTTGAGACCTGAACAGCTCACTGTGTTCCCTTCTTTGGTTGCAGAGTGTGGTGACTAGGGTGGCCAGCCTTCCCTTGGTGAGCTCTACTTTCGACCTGGTCTCCTGGGCTTATGGCAGCACCAAGGATCAATATCCCTACTTGAAGTCTGTGTGTGAGATTGCGGAGAAGGGTGTGAAAACCATCACCTCTGTGGCTGTCAGCAGTGCTTTGCCCATCATCCAGAAACTAGAGCCCCAAAGTGAGTCCTGCTTTGTCCCTCAAAATTCAGTCCAAGAGACAGGTCAGGAGTGATTCGAGAGCTACCTTACTTAAATACTGTGAATGCCAACCACATTGTCCGGAGCACACGGTGCCTTCCCTGAGGCAAATACTGCCTTTACCTAGAAACAGCTGTAGACTCTTTTCTGTAGTGACGGAAGGCCTGCTTCACAGCTGGGACAGATTTTCATGAGACTTTAACACTCCCTCTTCCATTCCCCCCCGCAGATGCTTCTGTGGTGGCAGCTGAGATCATAAGGGAAGTCTGTAGTTAAGTGAGCTGGCATGACTGACTGACTGCCCTATGACCACACAGCACATGCCAACTATCTTGAAAACACAAGGAGTTACAATTTACATACCACACAGCTCACCCATTTAAAGTGTGTAGTTAGTTAGGAATGTCAGCTTGAGCCTTGTGCTCCTGTAACATTTCTCTGTATGGGATTTAATTGATGACAGCAACTTGAAAGATAGGAGGAAACTTACTTAGGGGGCAGTGAAGTGAGTTTATGTTAATGGCGGGGAACAACTCAGAAAACGCTGGCTGCACAACTCCTGAGATTGTAATCAGTGCCACTGAATTGTACGTGTAGAAACGATGGAGTTGGTGTATGTGTATCCTCAACAACAAAAGAAAATAAATTGGGAAAAAATGCAGTTCCGTGGTTTTTAGTGTGTTCACAGAGTTGTGCAACCGTCACCACATTCAATTTAGAACATTTTCATCACCTCCCCCCTGCTAATCTTCACCTTCATTAGCAGTCACTCCATATATGAAGGTTCGAATCTCTGCAGGTCACAAACTGTTGAATACAGATTTAAATCCCCACCTGATTAAGTCACGGACATCTAGGTTTATAAGGGACCTCATGTTTGCTGTCAAGTCACTTCTTACTCCTAGCAACCCTGTAGAGGATTTCCAAGAGTGGCTGGTGGATTTGAACTGCCAGTCTTGTGGTTAGCAGTCCAGTGCTTATCCTACAGTGTCACAGCAGGCCCTGAGGTACCTTTGGAGATGAATTTCAACTCTACTACTTGATGCTGTGGGTTAATATGCTGGATTGCAAGGTCGGTTTGAACCACAGGGTTGGTGGTTCAACCGCACTAGCTACTGGGAAACCCTATACAGAGTCACTGTGAGTCAGAACTGATTCGACAGCACTTAACAATTCCCACATGAGTGTAGTACATAGAGGACTAGTGTTTGACTTGATTATCAGGGGATAAGTTTGTTAGGGAGAGCTACGATATTGTTGATAACACTCTCCTGACAAAGGGACCCTCCTACACACACCCAAAAACACAATGCCATTTGCTAAATTTAGTATGTTACGTGCCATCGAGTCAGTTCAGATTCATAGCGACCTTGTATAGGGTTTCCAAGAAGTGACTGGTGAGTTTGAATTGCCAACCTTGCAGTTTGAGCTGACATTGCAGTCCAGTGCTTATGCTACAGCACCACACCAGGACTCCACATCTTACAGGAGCAGAAAGCCCAACCTTTCTTCCATGGAGTGACTAGTAGATTCGAACTACTGACCTTACGGTTAGCAGCTCAGCTCATAATCCACTACGCTACCAGAGCTACTTAAATTTAGTATAGGTAAGGATTAAAGAGGAGTCACTGGGTTGGAAGAGGTTGACAGTTCGAACTCACCCAGAGCTGCTGTTGAAGAAAGGTCTGAGATCTGCTCCCTGAAGGTCACATCCATGAAGAACCTATGGAGTGTAGTTCTATTGTGAAACACATGGGGTCGCTGTGAATCCAAATGGACGGGTTAGGGATTAAACTAGCATAAAATTGCTAGTCTTGAGGGAGTTTTCACATCCTCATTCCCTGAGTATTCAGATGAGACCTAATTTCTGTTGGCAATAACCTTAGAGATAAAAATACCAGTTAAAATGGTTATATATAAAGTTAGCAGTTTGAAACTACCAGCTGTTCCACGGGAGCAAGATGAGGCTTTCTACTCCCGTAAAGATTTACACCCTCGGAAACCCTGTACAGGGTCGCTATGGGTCGGACCCGACTCAATGGCACTTAACAACAACAACAAATATATATATATATCCTTAGCCAGCTTCCTGTGTGGCCTGTGACTGCCACTTCCTGATACTCATTTCCTTGGCAGTAGAAGAAAGTTGCCAAAAACCTGCCAAACCTCTTCCTGTCTGAGCTAGGGGAAACCAGGTAACACATTTTGTGGTACATCAAAATCAACATTCTTGCTGGGTTTTTAGTAAGGCTAAAAGTTTTGGACTCAATAATGTTCATTTCATGCCTACACTGTTGCATTAACATTTCCCCCATTTGTGTCTCTTCTAGTTGCAGTTGCTAATACCTTTGCCTGTAAAGAGCTCGACAGGATTGAGGAGAAACTGCCTATTCTGAATCAGCCAACAGACCAGGTGAGCTAGAGGACTTGTGCTGTGGGTTGCCCCTTTGCACGTTTTCATGTTCTGTTTATTATACACTGTGCGTGCCATACACAGGCAAGTACTTGGCTTGGAAGACTCCTAGCTGGTTTCTTACTTCTTGAACTGTTGTCAGATTGACTCTAAGAAGCGGAGAAGAATCAGCCTCCTTTGGACAAGTATACTTTGTTTCATCTCTATCAATTTTTGGTTTTGCCTCTGCAGATTAAGTCACTTTCTCAAAGAACTGATTCCAGGCAGTATTGGATAACTGCAGAGGTGGTATACTTTTCTAACATGGTTTGGTATACTGTTGATAGGATGGACTATCAACCATTGTGGACACATTAACCCATGGTGATACCTGGTGATAGTTCCATCCACTCAGGTGATCTTTTGGTACAGATGTGTGCTAGAATTATCCTTCAATTAAGATACAACTTAGCTCAAAGTAATACAAGGTAGGGAGCAATCTGGCTCTGAGTTCCAGCTGGTGGGCTCTAACTGCTGACCTTGTGGTTCACAGTCCAGTGCTTATCCTACAGAGCCACTGTGTTACCAGTATTGAGCTGTTGTTAAGTGCCATCTAGTTGGTTCCGACTCATAGCGACCCTGTATAGGGTGCCTAAGGGGCAGCTGATAAATTTGAACCACCAACCTGCGGTTTAAACCAACCTTGTAGTCCAATGCATTACCCACAGCGCCACACCAGGACTCCCATATGTAAGGAAAGGAAAAAAAAATTAAATTCCATATGAATTTCTTTGCCAAATCTGACTTAAACCAAGCCAACATGTATACGATGTTTTCTATTTAATCTATGTTATTGTTAAGTGCCATCGAGTCGGTTCCGACCCATAGCGACCCTGAACAGGGTTTCCGAGGCTGTAAATCTTTACGGGAGCAGAAAGCCTCATCTTGCTCCCGTGGAACAGCTGGTAGTTTCAAACTGCTAACTTTATATATAACCATTTTAAGTGGTATTTTTATTTCACAGGTAACAGAACTTGGTACTTGGTAGTAGTAATTTAGAGCAGGACCTAAAAAGTACTGGTGTGACGCTGTAGGATAAGCACTGGACTGCTAACCACAAGGACAGTAGTTCAAACCCATCAGTCACTCCTTGGAAACCCTATATAAGGTCGCGGTGAGTCGGGAGTGACTCAGCAGTACATGTATTTTGTGTGGTGTGCCATAACACCATGTGGAAAGCATCTTTCTCTGGTTTCCTATACAGGATGATGACATTAGGTGCCGGGGTTTTCCCTTGACATAGTTGTCACACATGTTTGGTTCA